TTCCAGTTAAAGGCAGAGTTATGGGAGGCTGTTGGGCTCATACAGCCCATTCGGAAGATAGAAGTTGACTGATCCCAGGATCTTTTCCTGAAGGGAAACAGAGGCATGCTATCACAAATGATTCATAATGACATTTGTAAGGACGAACAAATAGTTAACAGACACACGATTTTAGACTATTTTAGTCTACTAAACAGTTTACTAATTCAATCAGCCAGGTCTGCAGGCACTTTGAGGAGGAGTACCTCAAATGTTCTTTTATCTCCAAGCTTCACACGGGAAAAAAAAAAAAAAAGCCTTGCTTTAATCAATCAGATTTTTCCAATTTTAGGCCTGTTTCAAAGCTGCCGTTTGAAGCAGGACCGTTGGAACGTGTACTAGCAGCGTCCCAACTGGTTACGTCTTTAAAGTCTGATTCCTGGCTGGAAACTTTCACTCAGGGTTTCAGACTGCCCACAGTGCTGAAACCGCCTTGGTGGAAGTTGTTAATGACCCTCTCAACTCCACAGAAGCTGTCTTTCCCTTCGTTCTGCACTGCTAGGCCCTTCATCAGCCTGTGACACTGGACACCATGGTATTCTGATTAATTGACTGGAGTGTTATGCAGGTATAAGTAACAGCCTTATTCTCTTTTTTTCTGCTGACTTTTTTTCCATTTTTATATGTAGAATTTATGTCAAGTGCCTTGATAACGCTCTGGCTTAAAAGGCTATATATGAATGTAGTGATTGATTGATTTATCGATTGATTGATCAAAGCATGGATGCATGGATGATAAGCCTGGAGCTCATAGTGGTGCCAGGAATGAAACCCATTCAAGGTTCACTCAGAAGACCAGCGGGCGTCTTCACATGTTGTTGCGACAGGTAGACAGGTACTCTACCTCCTACGAACGAGCTAAGAATCCGATACTTCAGATTTTAAAAAATGACTTTTGTCTTGTTCTCTCAGATCTATGCTATTTTTATTTATGTATCCTGGCAAATATATTCACTTACTGTGCAAAGTCAGATTCCCTGCTGGATGTAAAAAAGGGACAAAATGCACGATGGCTTACTTTCAAAAGTGGGATGTTAGAGAGCGTGTGGGATCAGAACAAACAGTGCTCAACCCAAGCGCAAGACAGGAAGAATCGCTCTCCGAAAGGCTGCTGGGACGATGTTGTTCGATGTCAGCGCTCATCAGCGGCTGAGGAAGACAAAAGAGAGCCCCTGACAGAGCCAGGTTTCTCCAGCCCTTTGAAATGCCTCCGAATTTACAGCGCGAAGAGTAGATGCTCCTAACGGAGAGCACCGCTATTAACCCGGCTTGTTTGTCGTTAAGAGGTGGGGGACTGGTTACATCGGACTCACAAGTCTCCCAGCTGTTGTGAGCACATGGCCCATCGCACACCGCAAACGCCTGCTCCTATCCCAGTTGTACAGGAGCGAGAGGAGGAAAACTCAGCGGCTTCCTGAAACTCGAGCAGGAATGATCACATGAAACAGCAGCCTGGCGCACTACACGAGACACTGATATGCGGCTTGCATCTGTTATTCCCTTCCAATTGCAATCTTTCAGAAGAAAAATGGGGTAATTTTTTCATTTTCTCTGAATATCTCGTATCTGCTAGGAAAGCCAGGCGCTGCTTAGGTGGCTGTACTCAATCAGAAAGCATCTATTATTTTCTATCATTATTGAATATGGTGCAGAAGTGTACTGCAGACACAAATAAACCAGACACTTCATATGTTTACTTATTTATTCTCTGCACTGTTGGAGGGGGCGCTTAGAGCCTGCAGAGGAGACAGTTTAATTCCCCTGCCATTCATAGCATAGTAATCTTATTCATCTCGGAACAGTTTACAAATAATAATTAAATGCCTCCATCCTCTCTGAATTGACATACGCATGATGGCGCAGGGTAATGTTATTAATTTAAGGCAGTGCCTAAGGTGATGACTCTCCAGCACTCTCCTATTGACAAACGGCCCAGCACAGTACGGGCCAGGCAGCCCTGTGCAGATGGTGTCCTCGCAGGAGGCAGCGGGAGAGATGCTGGGGTACCTTCTGTTCCTCTGGGGGTTTCACACTGAAATTCACGCCATACGCGGACAACCTGAGTGCTGGCCAGCCCCACGCCCAAATAAAACCGGGGGAAGAATAAGAGACAGGCTTTTATTTATCCTTTCGAACGGGGTGAGAACTCAGGGTGACAAATATGATTCCGCCCCAAAGGTCACTTGTATTTCCTGCTTCTGAACTCAGTCCGTCCTCCAGCCGGAGAACAGGGCTCCCCCGGCCAGCCTGAGACAGGGCGTTCCCGGAGGGAGGCCCGAGGAGACGGTGCAGGGTGCAGGCCCGCGCTGTACTGGGGCGCCACTGTGAAACACACGGGGGGGGTCCCCTGAAATGAACAGTATACACGTTTTCATTTACAACAAAGCCCTGCTACCCGCCGCAAAGAGGAGAACATTCAGGCGTGGCCAGAGAGCTTTCCGCCGGCTCTCCTGACTTCGCAGCTTGGAGGCATGAGAGGTTGGGGGCGCATCCTTTTTTACCTGCTGCACACCAGCGTGGAAGGCACACAGCCTTAGCGTCTTTGTTCCACCTTGGTCCGTGGGTCTGGGTGTTTCTGAATTTAACTTTAGCAGCCTAACGGGGACAGATATCCAACCAGTGGTGTGCCCCTTCACTAGACTGTTCATTTATTAGTGCACTGGTGTCCCACAGGTTGCTTGGCAGTGACGTGACCTGATATCACTCTGCCTGAACATTAGTTCAGCTTTGCTTAAACGGCTCCCCTCACGTCCGGCAGATCTGGAAAAGACCACAGAGCCGCCGCCCCTACGCGGCGTAAATCATCAGTGTCTCGTGCAAAGAGAAGACTTTGTGAGGGCTGCAAAATCCTGTCACTGGACAGCAGAGCATGTCGAATGTGCACGATACCGCCACCAAAGCCAAACACAACCGGGCTTCCTCTCTGTGGGGTTTGTCACACAACATGGTCCCAATCAAGACTGATCAGCACAGTGTTCTTAATGCGGCTGTAGACCCAGATTTATATGTGTAACATGGGGTTGTGCAACTTAAACCACTCTAGCTGCTTGAGTACGGGGTGAAAGCGGACTCTCAAGAGCAAAGGCATCTAAACTTTCAACGTCCTTCAATTCCTTGGAAGCGAAACAAACAAGTGGTGTTTCCCAGGAAGCAAGGAGACACAGAAATTGGAAAAGGATTAAGGACATGCCAGCCTCTTCCAACTTGGCAACATTCAAAGAGCTTTCAGAGTCTGAAAAAATCAAAGCCAAGAACTTCCTGCAGTGGGAAGGAACACAAAGCGAGGCTTGCGAGGAAGAAAATCCTTCCCTCTTTTGTTTAGTGGAAAGACACAAAGCACCAGAGAGAAGACGTTAGGCTGGCACCAGGTCAGGCTCTGCCCTCTAGGACTGCATGCAGAAAAGTGGGGTAAATACCTTTCATTTCTCCGTGGTTCAGATCACAGCTAGAAAAAACCAGGTCCTCTTCGGCATTTTCCAAAAACACCAATATTTTCAGCGCTTAAGAATGCCACTTCCGTTCCACAGCCCTTGCAGGGAGAAAAATGTCACAATCTGAAACTGAGGCAAAAACAATAGCACTTGAAATGGCTTTTCTGACTTTCCGACAGTCTCCCCTGCCAGGCCAATGTGCTGCCTTCGGCTTGCTGAAGGGGTTTACCTCCATCGCTTATATGCAGTTTTACGCTCCACACCCGCTGGTTTCAACAATAGCAAATCCTGTACGGGAATTATTCTAAGTCGATTCTGGGGTAAATTCATTTCCTGGGGCTGAGATTTAAGTTTGAAATGTTTTTTGTTTTTATCTGAAGGGTGATGCCTGATCAGCGAGGTTTTCGTAAGGGGATTTCACATCGTAAAGTAAATATCTGCATTATCGGCTGTGCATTTACTTATATTAGTGACTCACTGAATTAAAAGTAATTTCTTTTGCAGTAGGAGATGACATCTACTTCTTCCCAGTTGTTTGGGTAAATTACCTTCTGGACTCAGCTGGTAAGTCCGTAATAATGCAAGAGATATGATGATGTAACCTTTAATGCACGTCAATGGGGATAATTTAAGATTTAATTTGGGTTCATATATTTGTGATGGTCCTTTAGTCCTCTGCTGGAAGAATATGCCTAATTGCCTTGCCTGTATTATCCTCCCTGCTCCTGTGACGTTTAATGGCATCCACGGGGCAAAGTATCAATTCAAAGACATTGACCTTTCCGGCCCTCTCATCAATTATGGCTCAGATCTCCAGTATCTGGACAGGAGCAATAAATTCACCCCACGTCAAAACACACTACTGGCTTTAACTAACACAAGCCCATTGCAATCTCGCTCTGCAAAACAGAGAAGAATGAAAAATACAAAAAGAGCAAACTTCATGAAAAACACTACACTATGTTCTGCTTTTCAGTGTCCACAGCTGATCCTGTTTTCTCACATAAACCTTCTAAAGGTGCTAAAATGATCACACCGCAAAATCCCCTCCCAATCCAATCAAATCCCAGACATGCCTGCATACTGGACACACGTAATCCGACGTGCAACAGTACCGTTTTGCTCCGATCCGGAGTAGCAGTGCGCGACAGCACTGGGAAGGCGGGGAGACGAACGTTCTGGGGTGTGAGGCAGGAATGACTGCCAGGACCCGAGGCTGAAAATCCGCCCTAGAGAGCCGGGGAAGCTGGGAGCCAGGCCTCTCTGGGCATCTGCTCAGACCAGGCCGGGGTGCGGTGGAGGAGGGTGGCAGGTATGGCAGCTCCAGAGGGGAGCTCAGCACGACGTGAGCGACGCGAGGAGGCGCTGGATTCAGAGCAGGTTCGCGCCGCACACATGGTGCTCCTGTGTTTCCGAGTTCGGGGCTGAACAGCACCCAGGAGCAGAGCACACCAGAATGTGACAAACCCACAAGCCCCTCTAAAGAAGTGTTTCTCCTCGGCACTCTGCTTTGAGGACGTCCATAGCAACAATGCAGTGGATGGTCTCGTTCCTTTCTACCCCTTAGAAATGCGGACAGTTTAGAAACGCTAATTGCGCCTTTGCCATCTCATGACAACGACTCCTGGGCCCACACGGGCAGAATGAGGATGTGCAGACGGGCTTCTCTGACAATCCACTCTTCCTTCGGCAGGCTGCGGGCTCTGCCGTGACTTACAGAAGACCAGCGCTGTGCCGGGTGACTGCTGTGAGTCTCTGTGCGTCCGGAAGGAATCACCGCGGGAATCATTTTCCGGTTGGGAGCCAAGGGAGCTCTGGCCCCCTATCCCAGACCCCAGCCCAGCCCCTGCAACACTGGACCACCCCTACTTCAGCTCTTAACAACACCGGTAGGGGCAGCTCTCAAGGCAAAACCCCTGGAAAAACTGGCCTGCGACAGACTGGCCAAGGCGTGTTCTGGGCTAGGCTGGGCCCAGATACCTGAACATCATCTGTGACATCAGAGCAGGATTTGAGTTCAGTATCACTTTGCCCCTAGTGTGTGATTTATTAGCCTGAAATAGGTACAATTCTGTAGTATTACATATCCTTATTAATGCTTTTCACTTTCATATATAATTTATAATTTGATATAATATAATATGCAATAGCATCTCTGGTACGCCCTGTGTTCAGTGACAGGAAAGATGATAAATAAGAACTGGAAGCTTGCATGTGTTTACCAGCAAGTATAAGCATTGCTGCTGAACATTATATTCAATGGTTGTCAGTATAATTACATCACGGTCACCGCTGCAGCTCATTAGAAAATTGACCTTTCTAAAAAACGTGAACTGGTACAATAAGCAAAATAATAAACCTGCAAACCTGCAATACATTTAGATCTGTTTTTCCTGTTGTTGCATGCTTTTCATAGTGCTTTTATCTTTGAACTGACTTGGCCACGGTTTCTAACAGTGTACTCTGCCTCTCTGTTCTTCACTGTCATTTTACCATGATTTCATTCTGATTGCTTTCACTTCACTGTGCTCTTTCCCGGGTACACCACAGGAAACCTTTAGAAAGACTGCTGTCTTCCCATACAAGAACTGATGGCCAAGTCAATCTCTGTTGCAAGTGACGCTTTGCCTGCGGGCAGAGAAATCGCTGTGGCCGTCGCAGGACAGCAGGCAACGTCAGGCTTTCTGCAAAGCGGCCCGGATCTGCTGATGGACGTAGCCAGGGGACACCACAGCTCCAGTGCCAGGAAGCCTGAGGCGTGAGGGTCCAGTATTCCCAAGGAGGGCTGGATCTTGGACGATGTAGAGGCTACCTTCGCAGAATCCAGGCACACATTCCCAGCTAACACGGGGTTAATCCGCGATGAAAGGAGTGGTTTATCCCTGTGAGTGGGGACGTCTTACATTTCTGTTAGCGCTGGATACTGTATGTGCAATATACTGTATATATGTCCCACTTCAAGTGCGAATCGATACAGCATAGCACAGCATTAAAAAAGGCTATGTCCATCCTGAATGGGCTGCTGTGCATTGAATACTTTCACAAAGGGACCATCATTGTCAATATCTCATCCCACGAGGAGGAAACGGGTTGGTCACTCCAACATTGTCTCGCGACAAGCCAACCTGCTCTGCTTCTTCTCCTTCCGATCCCCTCGTTGGAAAGGAAGAGAGCTACAAATATCACTTCGACCTCACATTTCATGACAGCCACCGTCCAGCGCATGAGACGGGCTCTAAAGCAGTAATACTCAGATCACAAAGATGGAAACGTGTTTCATAAAGTTGAAAGTGGATGAAAGTCTTGTAAATGGCAGAGAAATACTCAGAACGCTTCATCGGCAAAAGAGCTGGTCTTATGTTAGACTTACATTCACAAGTCATCTTCATAGCACCTCAGGCGATTTAACATGAGGACAGACCAGTCTGTCAGAAGACATCTCGAGGCATCTAATGCAGTAGGCTGGGAAAAGGAACATGATTTTACATCTCTGGCAGTGGCATACAGTAACTTTGGCCAAGGACATACTGTCACAAGCACCACAAGTGGGAATTATGTGGCAAAGACAGTAATGATCCATCTTTTGTCTTTGGGTTAGTACACATTCAAAATGCAGGTGACATGATTTCCTCTGGTCTCACAGGCACTTGCAAATGTAACAAATGAAGAAGGCAATGCATCATGCAATTATTAAAGAGTTCAAATCCACTGGTGAGTATAATATTGACTACAAGCTCCTTCGGGTCCCCTGCTGTTCCACACCAAAACCCAGGCAAATTACTAATTTGTGCCACTTCAATGTGGTCTTGTCCTCTGTGGCTTAAGAGTTCAAAAGCACTTTCTGAACAAACTCAGACTCCTTTCCAGGTGCAAGGAGATAATCAGATCCCCTGGCTGCCGAGCTCTGACGCAGCTCCTGTAAGAATAAACTAGTAAACTAGTCAGGCAGCCAGGGAATCATTAGCACAGCAGCAGGAAGGTGCATGTGGCTCATAAGAAGTCTGCTTGAGGTGCAATTCCAAGTAAATGTCTAAAAGTCCCTCTTCTGGAAGGAAAGCCGGGAAACTAAATTGTTTCCCTGTCTTGCTTTTATCGGCTGCAAAGCCTGTGATCAAACTGAATTTACTGTGTGTTGCATGACAGCAGATCAGTGCAAGTCAAAGGTGACAGTGACTCATCCCTGTCAGTCCACATGCCCAGTGCCTAGTCCTCAGAGACTCCACACTGCAGCTCTGCAGCATGCCAGGCACAAGCCTCATAGCACTACATTATGAAAACCCCACTGACACACAGTGGCTTTCAGAAATGCCTCTTCATTTCCCAAACCAGCTGTGGGTCAGTGCCCGTAGAGCTGAAGTGCTTGGTCTCCTGGTTTTGCATGGAGATGAATGAAGCTCCTCAGTACCATCTACTTTACTGACAGGAGCGGGGCAGGTAACCAGAGAGCTGAGATCTAATGTCTGAAATTCCATTCAACCCAAGAACCCCCCTGTCCAGAAATTTGATTTAAAAAAGAATCCAAAACGGTTTGCTGAGAAAAGGGAGCCAATTGAAAAGATGGTTAATTAGAATCATATCCTTACACGCAAACTCACAATCATACCAATTATATTTTAAATAAATCACTCACTCTAAATCCCTATTCTACATTCATTCTAATCCCATGTCCTCGCTATGTTAAAAACGAGTGCATTGGCTTGATTCTAAGCATTATTATTAGGAATATTAAAGTTTTAAAGACATTTTAATTTGGTAGATTTTCTTCTGCCCTGATTTGTTTATTAGTCCTTTGTCTGCATGTGTTCAATCCTGAGAGTTCAGTCAGCATTTTCTCACCACAGTGCCTCTGAAGGGGTTTCTCATTCTTCACGGAGTGCAATGGAGTCTTTCTGTTTGTGTGCTGAAGCCAGACATTGGCAAAGTGATATTAGCTGGTTAATTTTTAATTTCTTCGATGCAAAGCCATGTTCTCATAAGCTGTGCACTAATGGCCTGGATTAGATATCTCTATGAAATCCTTAGAGGACAGCAGAAATGATCTCCAGGTCTCCAGGGGCAACTGTTAGGACCTGAGATAAAAGAGAGACGGAGACACACTGGTCATGTATAAACTATCGTCATCTTAGAACTCACTGCTCCTACAGGCTAGCTTTACACAGACATCTTATACAGTCACACCTGAAGAAGGCTTAACAGCCAAAACATTGTTCTTCCTTTCCTGAAATTAACCTCTTCTTCTGTCTCATTCTGTTTCTTCGGTCTTGTCTTGTCCCGAATGCACATAACTTCTGGACAGCATTTGTTTATACACATGGAGCAGGTATACTTGAAATGCCTAAACAAAACTAGATTGCTGAATTTCGCCTCACTGTAATGGGCAAACTGTGGCTCCCCTGGGCTCTGAATTGAAGAAACTGTAGATGCCATCAGCCCAAACACTATAGCGATGGTAGCGTGAGGCTCAGGCGGGCAGACAGGAGCTTTGGACTGCTGCTTCACAGACTTCTTGGTGGGGCTGGCCATGAGCTCACCGTCAGACACCTGCTGCCGAAACACGTTTCTGCCAAATAGCACCAAACTTTCAGCAAAACAAAACACATAAAAAGGGGGGAAGAGATGTGGAGCAACACCTCAGTTAAGTTGAAGTTTTTTTTTGCACGGTCAGAGTGGTTGGTATTTAAAAAGCATCACAACAGAATCCAGGATTCACGCCATCTTGTACTGTATTTTCATATGGTTTCTATAAGTACAGTATATGATATCATCGTGACACAGGGATTGTCTTCACCTCATGACCTCTTGTGGGACCTGTCATCATGTGGCTCATCAGGATGACATCATGCTCATGTCATCATCCGCTGCTACACAAACACCCTGTAGTATAAACACACAGCTACACTCCTGCCCCACACACTCCCCTGGGTAACATCTGTCTGGATCATCACCGTTGGTGTTGTGTTATGCGATCACATTGCGTTGATCACTCTGTGTGCTTGTCCGTCCGCCATTTTGGGAGGTTAGAGGCTCCAACTCTGGCTGGTTTAAAATGCAATCTTGGCCTGGCCAGTAGGGGGAGCAAGAGATGGGGCTTGATGTTGATATTCTGGCTTTTTGTGCTTATGGCGTGCAGTCTGCGTTTAGACTTGAGATCTCTTTAGAAAGATGGTTTTATAAGGAGCTCAGTTCACATTAAAAACAAAGCTTTGGTGCATAACACGTGATGCCATAAACCCAGAAGAGTTTAAATTGCAGATGCATTTATAATCTCAGTCTCAACAGCTGACAAGATCAAACCTATTGACACTCTACTTTCTGTGCAGAAATCCTTTAGTTACAACAATTAAAAGGAGTTGTGTCCAGAATTCACTATTGTTTTTAATCCCCATTTGGCTGATATTTATTCTGGTGACTTCTCCCGAAGTCGTCCCAATCTGACCTCAGTGCTCCCAGATAGCTGCAGTGGATATTCTGTACCTTCTGTGCCCATTGTGGTGCATTTATCACCCTCTACTGTAAAAAAAAAAAAAAGTTAAGGTCATTTCGTAGTAAATATGTAAGAATTGATTAAAGTGATAGTTTACAAACTACATCCCACAGAGATTTCATATCAGAAAAACTCAGAGGCAGATGGTCTGCGTTCAGTTAGAGATTTTCGGCAGGAAATTACCTTGTAAAATGTATATATTAGTAAGAGAAATCTTAGAGCTAATATTGGATGTGTATTTGCATTCCGAATATATATCCATTGACAGATGGTAAAAGCATTTTAGAGTTGCTGCATGGCAGAAAAGCCCAAAAGCTAATCTTCTAATGCTCAAAGTCACAAACAGGCAGCTAAATGGCTACAAAGATAGAAAGGCTTTGTATTCAATAGGCAGGCCTTCATTTAACCGGTTCACGGTGACAGCAATGAACTTACATTTACTGTTTGTTGCTTGATTTTAGCAACCTGAATTCAGCAACCTTCCTGTTGTAAATAGAAGGGTTTTTTTTTTAATTTTGTTATTTCTTATAATGGCAATGTTCCCAAGTTTCAGTACATCAGTACATTTGACTACCTGATAGGACTGATCAAATAAATGGTCTGTCACGTCATTTTGTACACAGCTTTAGTACACTTTATTACTATGTTTTTAAAACTGAGGGATATATATTTTAATTGAAATGTTAAAATCCGGGATTTATAATCTTGTTGTTTTAATTCAATCTGGGGTGGATCAATACTCCAATCCTTGTATTAAGTGACATACAGTAGCTTCATTGCTTCTTGCTCATAAACACAAGATTCTGCTAGATCTAAGAAAGGTTTTTGGTAACTTTAACCTGTGTCCTGCGAATGGTCAGGCTTTGCTCACGGACTGACCTACAGTAGCTGTGGCCACTCCATCCATCTCCATGAGGCCACGTGTCCGTGTATTAATCAATGCAAATTAAGAGCATGGCTTTAAAAACATGTTTCATTTAATGGTCCCTACAATTTCTTCTGAAATCCTATTTCCATTAAAGATTCACAGACACCACCTCACCCTCTTGGGGTCTAATTTAAAGTGGATAACATGTGCTCAGTCCCGGGGGACACTGCTCATTACAAGTGGTCCAGACCAATGAATTCCTGACCCAGCACGCACGTCTCTACCCCCTCCAGCAGCCTTTCCAGTGTCGTTCCACGCTGCGGTACATTTGCGTCTCCGCGATCACGCTGCCCGTCCTGCTCGCCTCTCGGCCTTGTGGCTCGGATCAAGCGTGCCCGTCCTGCTCGCGGTCGGAACGGGGACTCGATGGGCACTATTCAGCGCCGGGACACATCTGCTCTCATACCGATCAGCTCCGTTTCTCATCACAAGCTCACTGTGCCCTGAAAGCTGACACGAGCAGTCAGGGGTCATCAAAAACAGGTGTGCTGGGACTGTACGAGGCAATAGGTGACAGTAAATCAGACTCAAGTCCTCATCAGAAGTATTATGTAACAATTATATCCACAATCCCCATTACATACAGTATGTAGGACATGTAGATAGATTAGATACAACGAATTATGGGCATGAATATTACTTAGCTCTTCGACCAAATACGATGCTACAGGAGATGATGAGCTGATTAGCCCTAATCAGTGAAACAGCTGCCATGCAGCTGCTGAACAACATTCACACGTGAAATTAGTATTAATTAACTCATTGTCCACTTCCACAATGCAACAGCCAAGAGAACTAAGTTACCTGAGCTACTAACGCTATTTTAAGATAGCTCTCCCTGTGGTTTCGGAACCTGAATACACGCAATAAACACAGACAGCGGGTCAGTGAAGGCAGCGAGCATTGTGCGTTATCGGTGCTCAACAGTACAGCTGTCAGACATCTGCATCAAAGTGTGATGTAGGAGGCCAGTATAATCACTGACTGGCATGACCACCCCTTGCACGGCGAACCTGAGCTCCTTCCATCAGGATGTTGATGTAGACTGTCTAGATTTTACTGCAATAGAACCAAGTCAGACTCAGGCGTCAGTAATGAGCCATCTCTCCTGACATCCATTCCTCTCCCACAACGCTATAAATACTGTACCTACGAGATCCCTATCTCTTTCTTGCACATCTCTTGCCTCCCACCTCCACCCCCTCTCCACCTCTGCAGCTGCCCCTCGGTCACCCTGCAGGGGGGTCCTGGCCTCCTTGTCCCCTGGCCGGGAGGTCAGCCCTCAGCCGAGAGGGTTAAGCCACAGTTTCGCTCCATAATCCTTTCATGGCGCTTTTATCTGTGGTGTTGTCATTCCTGGTGAAATCTGGACTGTTATAAATCGTGCAAACCCCAACAAGTACAAAAACGGCCCAGTGCTTTATGAGGCAGATAACACTGGAACACAAGGGCGTTAAACGGCCAGACAGACAGACAGACAGACAGACAGACAGACAGACAGACAGACAAAGAGCAATACAGCCGCATACTGTAGGAGTAACAGCTCTGTCACTACAGATAGCTTTTCCTGTAGATAAGCCCATGCTAGAAATATAACAAGCTCTACATATGCAGGAAGCCAGTAGGAGCAAACAAAGGCCTTAATTTGCACGCGCATGCATATTCATGAGCAAAAGTGAAGTAGTGCAGGATTAACTAGCTGTTCAGTTTTAATTGTAGAGTCATCAGAGTTGGGAAAGGGTGCATGTCTGTGATTACGTAATTACGACACTTCTGTTCTTCAAGCAGTTGTTAAATTAGAAAAAAAAATCAGCTCTGAAAAGTATTATCACCGGGGCATGTTGTTTATTTTGAGAACTTAAAAGCTGCAAGATCGAAATCTTGAACACCTTGTCCACACCTCTCCCCTCTTTCCCACACACAAAATGTTTCTCTTCTAATTATGGATGTATGAACTTCTGTGCTTTATAAAGTAGAATTCACGGGGGGGGGGCATATGTTTTCAAAGATTTGCAATCCCACCTTCAGAACACATATAAATTGTATTGGAAAGAACAGTTGATTTTTCTGATAATGGAATTCTGTCACTTTATGTTCCCAAAGCACATAGTCCTCTACAAAGCACTGATTTATCTCCCCAGAAATGAAATTAGAGAAGCAATAAAATGAAGTCAAATACTACACCACCTCCCAGGGTCATTTTGTTTTAAAATTGCTTAATGTAACAAGTCATACATACAGACTCCTCACGGGATGAAGGAATGCAGATCGCCAGAGCCGTCTTTCAGAGGTTGTGAGAGCGAGCGAAACACCCAGCCCGTTCAGATCACCTCTGCTACCCCTGCCTGCCTCGTGATCTGTTAATGGACACAGCTGGGGCACAATGGAGACATTTGGAAAATTAAATTGCTTATCGTTGATTAATAACATATGAAATAAGCTTCAGGTTACTGGCAATACAGTGTACCGAAATAATATATACATTTGATATTTGCTGGCGGACTTAGCTGGCAGAATGTGCCGATGGGTCCATCCACCGCTACCGCATAACCTCATTGTAACACTCGGAGCATTCTGTGAAACTGGAGAGCTGCATGATCATCGGTCCCCTGCGTTATTAATCTGCGCATGTGGTATAAGCTCTGGGAGTAGATGTTAGCAATTGCTGCATTCAATTCAAAGGGCTACTCACCTCGGGGCCAAGAGCCTGCAACCGTATCTCAGGATACTCTGAAAGAAAAAGACTGACAGTAATACTGGTTTGGTTGCATCTCCCGTTCAAAGGTCATCTTTCCTTTTCCTCTCGACAACTGCTCTCTCTATTCCCTCACCTCCTGCCTGCTCGTATATTCGAATCATTCCTGTGATTTAACTATGTAAATGTCACCTGGCCCCTCCCCAGACTGCACCTCTAAGTGTTGTCGTACTTACACCTCCTTGTCTGGACGTCTCTTTAATAAGCGCGCCGGCTTTCAGTGTCTCACGGCAGCGGCGCGGCAGGTGTAAAACGTATTGTCTGTCGCGATTTAATAGTCTGAATGTGCTGAAAGCAGTTTAACAAAGTATGTTTTTTTTAAATCCAAAAGACAAATGACCGTTTTACAAAAGTCCCTTTCCTTAGCTGAAAGTGACAGGGACTGTTTTTTTTTAAAAAAAACAAACTCATTGGCTCAGCACAATTCTAATAAAATGTTGGGAGTTTGGAGCTGTGGGCCCTAAGAGGAATTCCAGCTCTTGCACGAATCCGTTTGGAAAATCCCCTTCCCTGCTCCTTGAAGACGACGTCTCTCGTCTGCGCTTGCCTTGGTGCTCTATCCCGACCAGCGCCTCAGTTTCCAAGAGCCCGCCGTGCCTTCATACGACAGGAAGGTTTACACCGCGGTAATGCGGGGATTTAGGTGGGCCTTAGCGCTTCTTGGAGCAAGGGCAGCGCAGCCGGGTTTGAGCAGGAGCTCGGCAAGGCTCGGGGCTGGCGTGGCGAGGAGAGGGAGCCGGCGGAGCCCACATCATTAGAGCAGCACAGGTGGCATTTCAGCCTGCCCTTTCATCCCAGACAGCGCCGGGAGACGAGAGGCCGAGGTGACGCGTACCGTTTCGGCTACTCTCCCTTTGATGCCAGGCGCGATTGCATTACAGACTCCGACTTCCCAAAGGTGGTGGTGGTGGGGGGGGTCTCTGTGCGTGCTCCCTCTCTCAGAAATCAAACCAGCCTCCCGGCGTAAAAAGCAGTGAAAGCCGGTGCACAGCACGACGCGCGAATTAACAGCACACTGCTACTGTTGATTATGCTAAGCGTTTTGGTAATGTGCCGTTTCTCTCTCGCCTGCCTGTTGAGAATAAAGCCCCCCTCCTCGATGGAAGAGAGTCCGATTAATATCTCTTTATGATCTACAGCTCACTCCTCGTACGGCGGTGCTGCCCACGACAGCCTCTTCGGGAGAGGGGCAGGCCGAGTTTAATTTCCCGCTGTGGTAGCGCGCCCCGTCTCAGGGTGTCCTGCAGCCTGTCCACTGAACTGGGGGTCCCACCTCTCCGACCTGCCCCACCCCTGGCGCGATAAAACTCTCGGCAGCTCCGGATCCTGAGCAGTAATAACAGATAAATCAGTTCACCTCCAGCAGGCCGACGGTTGCCATGAAGCCTATATTTCGTTGCCTTTTTATTGCTGCTAGTGACGTCGGGGATATCGCATTGTAATGACTTCGCATCCAGAGAAGCCATTGGGCGCAATGAGCCTGTTTTGTTTTATGTTGTTTATTTCAAATTGAAACAAAACGTGGAAAGAATGCGCTGAGAAATGTATTGATTCCCTCTATTTTGTTTAGATTCCAGGCTTTAGAAATTTGATACTCCAATTCTTTTAAAGCTGCTACCTGTATTAACAACGGACACATACAGTAGGCATAACTCTGCAAATTCCCGCTCATCAATATGCCTTCTTACAACAAACACATTTCAAAGGAGACTGGAGACTCCTCCAGAAATCATATATGTGCCACACAGTCCTGCAGCAGAGACTCATGCAATTAACTAACTTCATCTTGTTTGGAAACAGGTGTTTATAAAATGGAATAAAAGCATGCGGATACAACAATTCAGGTGGTCGCCTTTTGTGATTCAGCTCAACTTTGTTCACCACCTCATGTAATTAGCGCCTAAGTTTTGCCATCTTTAGTTTTTGCTAAATTTGCCACTGCCTTATTTTGGAAGGTTGAAATATTATACTCGGCGACTCATAACAATAGAGATCACAGCCAAATGTTGCTTCTGCTGCAGCATTCCAATGGAGAACTTCGATCACAACAAAAACAGCATTTGGAATAACGCTCTGTGAGGTATTTGCACCTTAGGTTTTACAAACAAAAATGAGACTTTTGAATTTAAAACATTTAAATGGGAAAAGACTGTTTTCCAAAAATGGTCACTTTCGGCTTAAACCTTGTCCAAAGTTGCCATGCCTGTTACACGGATGAGCCTCAAAAATAGAGAAAGTCTGGTCGCACTGTCCGGAGAATTATGGAACAGCTGAACTCGCTCTGAATTTTCTGTTGGCTCGCAGACCTGTATAATGAGAGACTTCTTCTGTAACCATAGTTCCCTGGAAGGAGTGAGTATCTTTGACAAATACGTGATGCCTATCCCTTCCATGTCTGAAAGAAAAGCTGCTTTGGCTGCGTTTGGCTGGAGACCATTGTAAAATTAAGGGTTTACCCCTGAACTCATCAAAATCATACAAAAAGCTGTTGGATGTAGAAAGTAACATAAGAAACAGAATTCCTACCATCTGTCTTGGATTTTGTTTCCTAGACAAGTAACAGGATCTCTCTGAAAACCCCCTGCCTGTATTTCTGGGGTCTCTACTGTGTCTGGTGCAGAAGAATTGATCTGTGGTTGAATAACCAGACAGAGAGGAAGGTTACCGCCTGCATCTGCCTTAACGTGCATTAGATGAACTTGAAGAAAGATACAGTGTTCGGATGGGTAAGCACATCCATTTGGGAAAGAGACACTTCGTTATTATTATTATTTCATTAAAGACCATCGCAGAGTCTATGAATCCTGTATCTGCACAAGAATCATTCAAAATTCGGAGCCCGAGTATATATTTGTGATGCAGACGGATGAAGAAAGTCTTTAGAGAAGACAGCTGGGTCACAGCTATGTGTGATGTGGGCTGTAGGGGAGGTTTTCCAAACGTTTCCATCTAGGGCGTACCCTGCCTTTTGCCTGTTGCCTTCTGGGATAGGATCTGGCTCCCTAACAACCCTGAATTAGAAGAAGTGGTTAGAAAGTGGGTGGGTGGATAATCTAATGATCAAACCATCAGACATCTTAACATGCAAATATAAAATGCACTGACACGGGCCAGTAGCTCAGGTTTTCCCAGTATTGCACGCAGCGCAGGCTGCAGACATGTGTGTGCCTTCCATTCATGTCTATTGGCCTTGGAAAAAAGGAGAACGTTTCCACATACGGCACATACATGATGTGTGAAAACCTAACGTATACAGTTACAGGCACAGGAACGCTGCTGTCTGAGTAATGCTAATGATATATTTATTCCAAGAATTGCTCCAAAGAATGCCTTGGAGACTTCAGGCTGCTTCCCAGGAGTCTTCAGAAGATGCTGAAGGGTTGGTTTCACGATATCTGAGACTCTGGATATCAGTTCATTTCACGTAATGGCAGAAAAAATGTATTTTTCGTTGTTTGTTCTGTCTAACTCTGTTCTTTGTGCTCGCAGAGGAAATGTTTTTCATTTTTCCTCGTGTTGCGCGAGACTGAAGTCAGCGATCACCTTATTGAAGAGTGATCAATCTGCTGGGAGCGCGTTTTATGGAAACCGCGTTTTGATTTCAGTTTTAAATGCTAAAATGCGAAGTGGCACACTATCTGGCTGACTAACTTTATCCTTGGCCAAGAAACAAGGCGACGGACATTTTGAACCGGGCACCTCTGTGTGTTACAGTGCTGGATTCATCAAAGGTCGGACTGGAATTTTCTCTGTACACAGCCTTGCGCTGCTGGAGCTCATACGGGCTGTGAGAAAAGCTCATTGTGAAACTGAGTAGGGTAAATTGGTATTATACCAATGTAATTTTTCTCATGAATATTTGGCATGGTAATTGAACGTATCCAATATCAAAGATTCTGATATACAGAACACACAACCTCATTAATATTTGAGCTGCTTCTTTATATAGATGGGGAAAATAAAAACATAATTTATTGTGGGGTGAGAGATGCCAGTGGTGTAATGATTTGTTGACAGGTGAAAGTCACCGGTTTGATGAAACCATGTAAGTACATATCCATTATTATATGTTGTCATTGGTTTGATTTCTTTATTCTCACTTTTTACTTTTCCAATACTGCTGTTTCACCCAACAGAAAAAAAAAGCCAATTAAAAATGACCCACAGCTCTTTCATCTGTTGGTGTGTCTAAATGCTACACTCCTTATGAGTCAAAGAAAATGTATGAATGAAACTGTGTGCCTCTGGAATCCTCTAATCGGGGGGGATTTAAAATAATTTCAAGAGGCAGGATCCTTTTCCAAGAAATGCATCTCAAGAAGGACCTACCCCCAGTTTAAATCCCAAAGCAGAGGGAAGTCTGTAATGCCTACAGACAATGCCAGTGTAACGTATAAGAGTCCTGCAGGTACACGGATACTCTGTTAGAGCTGATCCATGGAGAGAGGAGTGGTTATATTCACTACAAGACACCAGGGGCTCCGATTGCTTCTGGATATCTTAAAGATCCCAAGACCTCTGATTGACACTGAATGCATTACATACAGTGTATGGAAAATAATGGTCATCAGGTAGGGGAAGCTACCTGTGAATCTTCATGCAGGGTTAGAGTAGAGTTGGGAGAACCTCAGGACTCTCTTTTAGTCCACAATCCGGCAGCAGCTAGTAAAACACACGGTACCTGGGACACAAAGACACAGGGCCAGGCAGCAGAATGTGTCATTTCAACATGACGATCCCAAAGAATAAGTGGGCAATAACACAACTACATTATGTCATTCCTGTTTCATATCCTTTCTCTCGCAGCAATTTCTATTGTCTTTGTTATTGAGTACAATTTTATTCTATTGATCAAATATAAAATGTGGAAGTCAAATGGTTCTCAATAAATAAACTACTACGTCCTCAAAAGAAAACAAATGTTTGTGTTCCCTTTGAAGGAGAATTACAAGAGACCTTACATAATGACCTTGTGCAATTCCCTCTGTATGAATGCATTTTATTTCAGCCATCTGAGAGCTGTGCCCTCACAGTTTATTAAAAAAAAAATGAACAACATCCTTCATGTTCAACGAACTGGGATTCAGCGCTACCGTATGTTAAAAATGAGCTTGTTTTTTTTTTCTTTTTTTTTCTGCAGGAGAATATTAAACCTTTACTGCCTCATTGTCTTTGATCTAATGTCTCAACCACAAAATGCACAGTTACATTTCCCGATATCTCTGCATTTTAATTAGAAATTAGAATACAAAAGAAATATGCTCTGTCATTAGGACATCTGCTCTTGTCATGTACTGGGACAAGAAGGATACG